ATATTTTAATGCAAAGTTTCCTCATCTGTGAAAAGGGAATTACTGAAATTCCCAAATCACAGTGCAGGCCAGGTTTCAATGAGCTACAAAAACACAGAAGCCACCAAGCACACTATGTGGAGCCCCAGTAGGTATCTAGGATGAAAGGGCTTTAGAAATCTCCTTGGCAGCTGAGGCTTCCAGCCTAGAGCAAAAGGTTAGTTTCCCAGCTTCCAGATCAATGTACTTAGGTTGACAACTTCAGGCTTCTGGTGTGTCTAAATTAAGGGTTGTTGATGCATCTTACGCCCAATGAAGACCCCAAACCCCAAGGCACTGTTACTGAATAATCACTGTTTTTTTTAGAGACAGAGTGTCACTTTAAAAGGTAGGCTTCTAGAACATCAGCAGGAGGGTGGGCGATAACAAACAGTTGCTTGTGAAAAACTAGTGAGACCTGACTTATCCCCACACCCTCCATTTCTTTGTATTAATTGGGCGGCCCATTCCCCAATCCCCGGAGTGTTTGGGGATTAAGGGCCTCCAGGTTCAAATCCTGGTTCAGCCAGTGACCTCCCCAACTGCAGAGCAGGGCGGTCCAGAACCAGCAAGGCTCCAGCGGGACCGCTGTAGGGGTTGTATGCCGCCGTGCTCCTTGGCGATCAGTGCGGGGCACGTGATTTAAAAACTCCCCTTGGACCGGACCTCCGGTATAAGAGTGCAGCTCGTGCTCCATCCGCACAACGGATGCCCCACCCACGCGGCTAGGACCGGGAGCAGGCGTCGGCTGGCCTGCCACTGTTTATATCGATGACACCGACATCGGGGTTCCTCTCAGCCCCACCACCGCCCAGGCCCAACCGCGGGGGTCGCACCTTGTACAGTCGCTGCTCCTCGGGCGGCCGCTTAAGAATGCCCTCGACGATGCGCTTCAGCTCAAACACGGTGCTCGATTCCTTGGCGTCAGTGAAGATGGTGGTCTTGTGGCGCCGGATCATGAGGAACGCGTCCATCGCGGCGGCTGCCTCTTCCCTCGACGCGCCGGCGCGGACGCGCTCCGCCCCGTTCCCCCCAGCTGCCTTTTCTTGATTGATAAATGTTGGTAGGGCAAACGTGGCCCCAATGCAGGATTCACCTGTCAGCGTAGCTGCTTTCTTCCAGATCTTGGCCCATGCTTCTATATGACTTTGTTAGCGTTCCTATACTTTTAAGCAAGTATTTTAATCTTTTGTTCAGGTCATGTGGTTGTCCTTAGTGGGGGAGTTTGTCCAATTTATCTAATTTGCCCTTTATTAGAAGCTGCCATCTCTATTTTATTCTTTCAAAAGCTAATAGTAGTATTTTCAAATTTCTCTTCTTCCATATCTTTTATGGTTTTTGGCAACTTCTGGATTTTTATATATTTCACTTTATATGTTTTGATGTAACACTATTTAATGCCTTAAAGTTCATGACTGTTATAAACATACGGTGGCTATTGTATGCCCTCCATTTCCCAGCCATTGTTTTTTGCCTTAAATTCTACTTTCTCTGGGATTTTTTTTGTATTCTCATTTATTTTGTATAGTTTTGCCTGTCTCATCGTTGAGAGACATTTTGT